TTCAGGTTGGTTTCTCAATCTGTTCCACCAAGTTTTCTAGTCACAGCGTAGTGCAGACCATGCCACGGAACTTCTGGAGACGAAGAAGTCGCTGTGCAGAAGAAGTATAGATCAGCTAGCGTACATAAAGGATGTCAACTCACTGGCTGTTTTGGCTGGTTAGCAAAGAGCTCCTCAGATGGAAGGCGACGTTGCTGACGCCCACAGCAGAGGCCCAGGTGACGCTGTTCCCTTACCCGGCGTACTCACCACCTACACACCTCGTGAAGGCGAAGGGCGCTCTCTGTTTTGCTTTACATACCGGCGTGGAGTATCCGAATGTGGATGCCTCCGTGCCATCGATTCCAGGAACGCCTGCTATTGGGTATGGCGTACCCGCTGTGGTGACGAAACTGGCCATCGGGTGTAGGAGAAAGATAGTGATGTACTCTTGGAAGGATGGGGAGCCTCAGGAACCCCAGGTACCTTCTATTGTCTCGGTGTGTTGAACGAGACGGATCTGACAGTCGGCAGGAAATCACCCTAGCACACTCGCCGAGGGGCATGGTCTTTGTCGACGCCGAGACTCTCTGTTGGGGTTATACTCCTACAGACTATGCTGTGACATCGTTGAAGACTTCATCCACAGTCGATGTCAGCACACCAATACCCGCGACGACATCCAGCGGTAGCATCGGCACTATGGGGATGGGTGCTCTGTCCGGACTTGGTGGCTACATGACGCTAGGTCTCGGGGCTAAGGCGAAACCGTGCGTTACCAGCCTGAACGAGAACGAGGCCCTCATTGCAAAGGATAGTGAGTCATATCCGGTACGCGAGCATCTACCGCCGCTTGACTAAGGATAACAGATAATGGCTTCCCTATCGGTCATGATGGCAGACCCTCTAGGAGTGATAGCATAGACTGGCCAGCACCGCCGGATGAGATTGGTAAATATCCCAGATGAACCACTCTGAGCGTTAAGTCTGATTTTGCTCCCTGTAGCTCTGGTCAAGCCGTACATCTTTGCGATTTTGCCGCCAGGCTCCGTACCGGCTTCACAAATTGAGGCTTTGCCTGCTACTTCCCCATCGACCTTCATAGCCTCACCGGTAGTTGAGATCCGTTCCTCGATAACCCTGCTCCCTGTGCAAACGATACCCTTCCCTCCTGCTCCGCCTCCCGCTCAAGCAACAAGCGCAACCCATGCTATCCGTCTCCTTACACCGTCGCCGTCGTCTAAATCACCGCTATTCGTGGTCTGTACGCCTACAGACCGCACAGCAGCAGCAAACGCGGGCAGCGCAATATGGAGATTCCGGATCAAGCCTTGGGATCAGCAGATCAACGAACTTGTCGAGGCAGGCACCTACACGTATGCACTTGCCCTTCTGGATTTTCTCGATGCTGCACTTGTTGCGGACAAGGTAATGGCTATGTGACGCTGTTGAATTGCGTTGGATGAACTCATCCGTACATGACAGGAACGTCGTCAGCGACAGATTCGCGGGCTGCAAGCTGTGGATGACTTCCGCAACGCCAAGTACGACGAGGCTGTCAACGCGTTCCTGGAGCTAGACATCAATCCGGCTAAGGTCGTCGCCCTCTATCCTGAGAATATATCAGGGAGACTGGCTGTGCCTCCAGCCGAGTGGATACCTCTATTCGGTGGGCCTAAGCCGAAGGCACCAGAGCCTCTTGTTGGATCTCAAGCAGCCTCACCTCCAGCAGTCGGCAGCCCGAAAGCTGGCGACCGTCCAGAAACACCGAAGAGCGTGGAATCACCCCCGCGTGCCCCAACTCCTCAGGGCTCCATTCGTGGCGTCCTGAAAACCGGCCTCGAGAGCATCAAATCTGCCGCAAAAGACGATGAGGCTGCTTCAATCCGCAGCGTTCGGCGTCCTCCTAAGCCTGGTTCGCTTGATAATTACCGGTTGCACCCACCTAACCAGGGTTGACGCAGTCACTGTAGATGACCTTCACCGCTCCATCGAGGTTCTCATGCGTTATCTCTCCGATCGGCGACCCAAGATCGCAGGCGCTCTCGCCCAATTCAACATTACCTCTGCACAATCGCATGAGATGCCGATCCTCTCGGCGACCTCGAAAGAAGACCTGCTTAATCTGCCGAATGCGCCGCTATCTGCCCTTACTCCCGAGCAGCTTGTCCGTTTTGCGCAGGTCGTGGACACGGCACTGTTCAAATCGTACCTGCTCGTTCGCCCTGGTCTCTTAGGTCCTTTGTGTCGCGTTGGATGGTGTGAAGTGTCAGAAGTCGAAGAACTTCTTCGCGAGCGGGAGGTGCGAAGTAGTCATGGGATGGACAAGATGCTCTTCGGGGCTGATGCGATTTGACACAGAAATATCAAGAGATGATCTACCTATATAACGGTCGCAAGATGCACGGCAAGGCATTGAGTCTGCTAAGAGAGTGAGTGTATGCGCTCTGCATGCATCGAGCACCTGCGCTCATCGCTTATAGGTTGAGCGAGAAGGAGGCCGACATGCGTGACAAACTGATGCCTACCGTCAGTTATCTTCAACGTCTTGGGCCCGAGTATCTGGACCAGATATTCGAGCATTCGCGATGGGTCTTTGAACAAGACCGTGACATGGCGTTCGAGGTAGGACTGCGTACGCCCAAGCATCTTACTGTTCGTGACCTCTATACTAGATCTTCACTTCCGAAGAGGTCGAGCTGCCAAAGGAGCATGTCGTGGACTTCCTTGAACGCCTGGACTCCGCTATTTGTGCACGATATATAGAGTACCTGATCAACGAACGCGGGGAAATCTCGCAAAAGTTCCATGATCGCCTCGCGGAGCTATACCTTCGCATGACGCTCGCTGCAAAGAAACGCGGGGATGATAGTAAGTGCAGATCTTCTCCAGGGACCCTGCGAAGGCTACATCACTGTGCAGCGACTCGCAAGGCGACGTATGAGAGGCTTTTGCATTTCATCGACAAGACCGATCACTACTCGGCCGATCGCTTGTTCGGACTATTGCCTGCTGAAGGTGAGCACTCTGGCCGTCCCTCACAGGAAGGCCCGGAGACTTCCCTTCATGGCCAGACTTCTTCGAAGCCAAAGCAATTCTCCTTGGACGGCTTGGAAGACACGACAGCGCGCTCGAGGTGTACGTCTACCGCCTGCAAGATTTCCTTAAGGCGGAAGAGTACTGCAAGCGAGTGTACCAACCCGGCTCGCCCACTGCCAATGTCTTCCTCACTCTCCTCCGAATCTACCTCCTCCCGGGACCCACGGCTCCTGCCGCCGCGGAACTTTTGCCACCTGCGCTCGAGCTCATCAGCCGTCATAGCCCACGGCTGGATCCCGTTGCGACATTGCAGCTACTGCCTCCACTCGTGACGGCGCAAGACGTTCGGGCATTTCTGCTGGAGTCGCTGCGTGCGCCAGTGTTCGACACGCGTGTCGTTCGGAACATATACAAGTCTCGCGAAGAGCATGTCGCTCGTCGGTTGATGATCCTGCAGTCAAAACGCGTGCGGATCACCGATGGCAGGATGTGAGTTCGCCACCCTGGACTCTGTTCTCACGTCCGTTGACTAATGAACCGTTCCTTAAGCTGTCCACAATGCCATAAACGCCTCGGAGGGAGTGTCATAGCTGTGCATGCACCGCAGTAAGTCAAATAACTATCTTCTCTCTCCTTTCGTCAACTGACTGAATCCTTTGTCATAGCGGGGAAGTTACCCATTACCAATGTCGAGAAGGCTTCGCACGGAAGCTGAAGGAAAGCCGAGCATAAGATGCGTGAATACTTCGACGTGTAGAACAGACCGTTTCACGGATCAATATACCTTCTCTATAATGATACGTTCCTGGTGCCTCTTTCGTTTCCCAGGCGAGGTCCTCATACGTTCCGAGCTCCTGGCTTTAGGATAAGCGAATGTCTGCTTACCCATCATTAGTTCGAGAGTCGGAGGGCGCCCCAGCAGGTCATCACGTATATGATGCATCACAGCGTCCCAATCCTGCTTGTCACACTATACACTAGTATTACACACACTCATCTATACTACATTACGCGTCCACGGAGTCCGGCAGCTCAGATCTTCTTGACAATGTTCATCTCCTGCGATGTACGTCAGAAGGAATGTCTATCATCAATCGAGCTCGTCTTCCGCGTACCTGATAGTTGGTGCTCTTGCCAGTGTTGTCGTTCTTGATAGCATAGCGGGTGGTCTGGAACAAGAAACGTTGAGGACCCAAACAGTTCGATAAGAGTGAGCCGGAGACACTTACCCCATCCTCAGCCTCAAAAACGTCCTCGATCACACCGGTGGAGTGCGAAACGTTCTCTTCAGAACCTACCAACATGGGGTTGGAGGCTACACATGGGACATATATGCAGGTTGAAACTTACCACCGATGGGGCGGTACTCAACCTTGTCACCCTTCTACATCTGACATGAGTAACGATACTGACAGCATGATGACGAAGGCACGAACCTGGTAAGCCGGCATTGTTGAACGGTTGTGAAGTTGAAGTGGAGTACAGACGATGATGTGGTTGTTTGCAAAGGAGTTCGTTGGGGGGCCTCTATATCTCGCCGCTCTTATATACCTCTTCTAAGACGCGATGCGGTCATTGCGTCGTCAGTGACGGCCAACAAAGCACATAGGCTAAGGCTCTGACGTCGAACGAAGGTGACTGCCTTATGAGGTAGGATCGTCGCCATTCTTGGCGTAGCAATCCTCCAGCGTATGGGGTAGCCGTGATGTGACGCAATCACTGGGCAAGCCACCACCCATGGCGCGCAACACCCATCACTGCTTGCTGAAATTTAGACGGCTTTTAGCTCCACATCCTGTTCTCGAACAGTCGGCGGGGTGGGCTTCAAGCAGGCTCAACGAGAACCCATGGGATAGGATAGAGGAGTTGGCCTCAGCAGCAACGCCATCGGTGCTACGTAATCATCAAGGGGCGAAAACCGTTCCTCCGGGTTTCAGGGCCGGCTATCTTGACATAATATGTAAAGAAGAGACTGTAAATAGGTCACTTTGCCGGAGTGGTTAACGGGATCGCCTGCTATTCAGCTGTGAGCGGTTGGGCTTTGCCCGCGAGCGTTCGAATCGCTCAGGTGACGCTTTTTGTCCACCTCCGCCTACAGGCGCTTGTCTATAGGCCGCCGTAATGTCGATAGAAATGAGTTGACGGGCTAGCGACTCCGAGTAATCCACGACGTCCTCCGGTCCTCCCTGCCTCCACGACTCAACGACCATGTCCGAACATCTCAACCGCGAAGAGGAGGACCTGCTCCAGGTATATACCTTGGTCATTATTGTTAGCTGTAGGCTAAGTCGGTAGCCCAGTCTGCGCTCTCAACGGCCTTCAGGCCTGCACCATTACCCCGCCAGTCTGCTGCACTTGAGCCGATGCCCGAGCCTGCATCTGGCCCCTCGACTGCAGCGGAATCCGTGTCAGAATCTCAACCAGAACCTGTTGCGGTAATTGGTGAAGCCGAGTCAACAGAGAACGCCTGGAAAGAGGAGTACGAGGCCCACGTCGCGGAGTGGCGGAAGCGTTCGGCCGAGCAGCGCCAGAAAGCGGAGGAAACGCGCGCGAAGTGGGAGGCCATCCGCGCGAAGGAGCGGGAGGAGGGCAAGGGCCGGGAGAGCGTGCTGAGCTTCAGAGAGCATGGCTGGGAGAACCTGAGCTCAAGCGTGACGACCGCTGCGACTGCGGCAGAGTCCCCGAGCCCGGCAGACGCGAGAGACCTGGTCACCGGCGAGGGCCAGGGAGGACACTCGAAAGAATATCTCGAGGTGCGTTCGTTTTACCGTGTTCCACCACGCGGGGAGTTGTGCGCTGACCGTCCCTGCGGCCAACACCGCGCAGTCTGTTTTGCCGGGCGCACACGCGTCGACCTCGAGTACTCCGCCTGAAAATGAGAACTCGCAGCCAACATCGGAGCCCGAGTCTTCCAAGCAGGAGAAGTGGGACGACATGACGTCCTCGGTCACATCGTCGTTCCCGTCGATGTCGTTCCCCTCTGACCCGCACTCACCGTCCTCATCTGCCCGGCGTGACCTGGCCCCGCCACCGCATCACCACCACCATGATCATGCGCACGGCCCTGGACACCTCCACGGCCAACACCACCATCACCACTACGAGGGGCCGGAGGGGGTGAAAACGGCGACACTGTCTGTGTTCGACACGTCCCTGAGCACGAAGACTCGTGCGCTCGCGCTGCTATCCAGCGTCGCAATTAACGTCTTGTTGCCGTTCGTCAACGGGGTCATGCTCGGGTTTGGAGAAATTTTCGCCAAGAACGTTGTCGTACGCTGGATTGGGTGGAGGGTCCCTGGGACTGCCAGTGCTGCGAGCCAGCAGAGCTCGGGGAGGATTGCGACTAACGTCGGTTTGAGCAGGAAATAGAGGACGATCGTACATATTAGGTACACGAGGCTACTGCTCACGGTCATTGCTTCACCACGTTCGCCCATTATATAGCTAATCGTTCAAGGAGTGTCTTGCATGCCGACTTCATTATCGTATGATACAGTGGTATAACATAAACAGCGGATCATGTACGCGATACATCCTACATCATGCCCTTCAGCACCCCTTGCACAACCTCTTCCTGTCTCGCTATCCACAGCCCGAACGCCGGAGTCCTCAACCACCTCTCGTAGAACTCCCTCTGCTTTGCACTGCTCTTGAACGGTAATGGTGACCCGTGAGCCTTCAGCGATGCGAAGAATGCGGTGTCGCTGAAGGGTTTCATCCTGTCTGGAGTGGTCAAGTTCGAGCGCGACTCGCTCGGAGTAGGAATGAGTGACTGCAGGTATCGCTGCAGTGGCACGAGCAGAGCGGCAGTGCGCGAACAAAAGTGTTGGCGAAGAGCTTCGGATGCCTGTCGTTCTATCCGACAATCACACCGTCAGAAGCACTTTTTAGATATACATGATGTGGAAGACGTACTTGCATACTCCGAGCCACGACATGCCTGTTCCGCTAGCTTAAGCAATGCACGGTCGCGAGAGGTGTATCTTCGATGGGTTGATTTCCAACCTGGTTTAGGTCCAATGACAATCTCATTCATTTCGCTCTTTCCTCGTGAGCTGGAGAGCTCAACCCATGAGCAACAACATGGCATCCAAGACCAAGAAGCTCACATCGGGGGTCGACCCAGGCTGAGCACGTGAGGCCAATGCTGGCACACGCGCTCGAAGAACGGGTTCGTCACGCCCAGCAAGAGGCCTGCTTTAGGATGTCGTGGATTCACCAATGCAGTGTGCTCTGCATCGTGGATGGTGAAGAAGGGCCGGAAGTCGCCCGATAGAGGAATCTACCGGATGGAGGTCACCAAGTTGAGCTCCTGAAGAGACGTCCGTCGACGTACCGGTCGCAAGAGGTCCCGAAGCCACCATACGGCAATGCTCGTGGCAGTCGGTGAAGGGCCGAAGATCAAGAGAGGCTCACTCAAAACGACACACTCCCATACTGACCATAGATGCGGGAGCAGAGCCTCGATGTAGCTCAAGATCGGAGGCACAGAAGGACAGACTGACACCAGTATCTAGGGTAGACCCTGTCAGAGTTACTCTATTGCCCTTTGTGGAGCGGGCATACCTGGATATCCGATTCGCCGATTCGGCCTGGAGGGAGGGCAGACATGGACTGTTGCGTATCGACGGCGAGCGGGATTTCCGCATGTATGACGGACCCAAGGAATCCAAGTTCCACGTTAGTTCCAGGTATAGGATCTGGCCTTCCGCCGGATCAGTATTAGAACGCCTTACTTCACGATACGAGAAAGACGAGTACGTCTCTCACCAGCTGGCGATATTATGGCAAGCAGCCTCCAGCATGGGCCCGCCATGACTCATGAACGAGGGGCCGAGTTTGGATATGATAGTATAGAAGAGCGATGGGAATGGGAGTTGCGTCAAGACTACCGTTGATGTCTGAAACCAGATGTTGTGAGCTAAGCACGTCCATGGCACATGGACAGCAGAAAGGTGTTGTACTCGCTTGTTGGTATCCACGCTTCGATGAAGCATCCTTCGTACGCGTAAAACAAGAAAAGCCGTAAATGAAACCGTCAGTACTTGAAGGTCGCGGGGCGTCATTAGCCCAGACTTCCCCTTCGGCGCAGTCCCGTAAACGAATTCGGAACGAATGTGTCTGTGATCCCTCTTCGAAGTGCGAGGAGTCAGGGAAGGATGAGAAGGCTCTGTGCTTCACTTCAGCCATTCGCTGCAGCTAAGCATTCAGGTAGTGGCTGACATATTCTGCGCCTCTGATAGTGACAACTTAAGAGGAGGGTATACGCTCGTGATCTTCGGACCAAGCTCAAGGTCGAAGTTCACTGTGTTACTGGTCAACACACTAGCGTATGAACCTGGTAGAAAGTAATTTCCTGTCACCAAGCTCAATATCCATCTGCGAAGCCTCTCAACCTTGTCGGGGCCCATCGCGAGACCATCCAAGCTCAGGTGTGTCCTGTGCATAGCACCATGAGGCATGCGGGGCAGCGTCTTCGAGCGCGACAACCGCCTGCGCCCTAGCTCTGTAGGGAGGGGCTTGCTCGCTAGAGTGGGGGATGAGGGCGACTTGTGCTGTCCAGTGACATTGGCATCGGCTGCGGGAAATGTCCTGGGAGTGTGAGAGGGCGGCTTGTGCAGCGCGGCCGGCGATGGCGGATGCAAGGGATTTGTGAAGCCGATGTCGACCTCAACGTGGTCATTGTTCATCGTCGGGGAGGCGGTCATCAAGGCAGGAGCATAAGAAATGAAGGATGTCAGAGCCCGCAAACGTGAGGTGACAAGCTACCGTAGCCCTGAAAGCCTGAAGCACTACAATACACGTGCGCGCTGCACACGCGACTGTATTTAGGTGTATGCGTGCGACGCGTTCAAGGCCTCTCAGTGCCATCCACCACCCCCACCGGTTCTAGCGCTGTTTTTCGAGATCTTCGACTACTGCGAGCTGTCCGCTGGACGATTGGGAACATAATGCCGGGTGCAAATTACATGGGAGGTAAGAGGTATGCACCATTTTGCGAAACCGCATGTTTGGCATTCGTAAGCCGTCCCTGCATAGAAACGCCGCCCGTGCCCGAGTAAAGGACGCGACAGGCAAAGCGCAGCGAGACCACTTTGGGAAGAAGCGGTTTGAGATCCTGCGAACATGCCTCAGTAAAGGGCAATGCAGCGCAGGACCGGTAGATCGAACGAGGAACAGCTTGAAGGCTCTTTCTAAGATTTCTCTCGCGCACGCTCGGCGGGCTCAGGCTGCTCACGTCGGCAAGAACTGGTGGTATGACGATGAGCATGAGATGAAGGCCGTTCCTGTAAATGGCTACGCGCCATCCGTTAGAAGTTCCGCTCGTCGCACGCCTCGCTCAGGATCCAGCTGTTCGAGGATATTGAGGGCGCTCGATGCGGACAATCGTACGTTCGGCGTATGTATACATATGCGTTCCATTAGCTCACTGTGCTTCCGACCAGCTACGACGCAGAGAGCCAAGGTTGAGGAAATTCTCCGAATGCCAGACCTCCTAGGGCTGTCAGCCAATCAAGGGAGAGCCCGCTCTCGATCTTCTTGCCGTTCAGTGTCGAACTCGAGTCCTTATCAATCTCGGTGCCATTGGGAGGCCAAATGTCATGAAGTACGACTTGTTCTCGTCTCGCCCTATCACTAGACGGAAGTTAAGTGCTTGACAGGTGGGAATAATACCTGACGCAGTCTTGTCGTCGTCTACAGCACATCTTTTACCCTCTCTTGCTTCTGGCCGCCGATATCACCCTGCAAGAGAACACAGGCTTCCTCCGCCAAGTCCCCCTTCCGGAGGTAAGCTGGTCGACCCTTGGGTCACTGGTAGACGTTGACGGAGACAACGGTTCATAGTGCGGGACTGTCCTGGCTTCCGGGACTTGCGCTCAGCGTCGCCTTTTGTTCCTATGCAGTTTGATAGCAGCCCTCCGGAGACCAGCCACAGAGGCCGTGCTGGGTACTGCTCTGATGCGTACCATTGGCTCCGAAAGAGCGAAGTCAAGCTATATGAGGGTTACGAGCCAACAAGGGTCTCAGTCTATCCGGACTGGTTTGCTGGGACGTCCTCAGCGCAGAGTGGTA